ACACAATATATGAGCCTCGCAAGCTAACTTAATTATTAGTACTGAAAAAACGTTTGACTTGTTAAAGTTGCTTATATTGCAATATACAAAAATAGATAATATATGAAAGAAAAGAAATGAAAATTATTTATCGTAATATTCAATTATGTTCACCCCTCTTAACTGATTGAGCTAAAGCATGAATTCATGAACAGTGCAACAGAAGCTCGTCAATTCTGCAAATATTCAATAGTTTGGGGGTTAAAGATTCCATAAACTTTTGAAATTTTAATAGGATTTTGAGGGAGAGTCTCATTTTATTATATAAACTAAACAAATATAATCTTACCTTTAATTTAGATGAATGGATTATTATACACACACCACATTTTTTGTTAAGTGCATCAACGTTTAATTGCAATAAGGATCTACAATTTTTTTCTCATTTTATGATGTGTATCTTAAATTTGTTTGCCACATTATTGCATCTTGTTTTTAATTAGGGTTTTTGTCCAAATATTTACTAACATGTGGAAAATATTCTGTCAAACTTTTATTTATTGTTTATCTTGTTTATTTAAAAGTACGAGTGGCAAATAAATCTTTAATTCACTCCTAAACCATCATCAAGGATTAAATTAACTAATTAATAGAGGTTGCGGTAAGGGCGGCAACGAGCAAGGCCGAGCAGGCGGGGCTTGTGAGTGGTCCGGCTCAACTGCCACCCCTAGTAGTTGTTATAAGCAAAATAGTGGACATGCTATTGAAAGCCATATGAGGAAAGAAAATGTTGCATAAGTATACAAGTTGAGTGTATGCATCTAGTGAAGTCGAGGGAAATTAATAAATTTTTATGCAATTTTCATAATAATTATCACCAAAAAGTACATATGGATCCCAAGAAAATAAGCATAAAAAAGTATTCAAGAAAAAGCTTTACAAATCCCCTAATTAATCATCAAAGGAAAATGCTAACATAGAAATTCTGAAGAATCCTTCAAGATTAAAAGAGCATGTTGGCTGATCTCAAACGCTAGGAATGGCTTCTTTTCAGCTTTTCTTGTCAAAAAATGCAGAAATAAACGACTTTTGACTTATGTTCTAGCATTTTAACTAAGCATTGGCACAGATCCCCCCATTTGAACTGGCTGCCACGTTTTAATTAAGCTTGAATAATTCCCAGCCCCCATTGGCCTATTACTTGCTGCTTGTTCCAATGCTTGCACCCGTTTTTTGAGAAATTTAAGGTAATGAACAGCCTCGTCCAACATAGAAGCTGTGTCCATTTTTGTTCCTCCAGGCACAAGTCTCTGCAGAATTCTAATTCTCTCGCTTATTCTTTCCCTGCGGTGGCGCGCCGCCACACTCTGCGGATCTTTGGAGATTTTCACGTTCTTCCTCTTGGGTGGCTTCACTGAAACTGGATCAATGTGAATTGGCTGCATCATTGCTATACGAAAGATCATTTCTCTCATGGCTTCCATTGAGCTTCTCGTCTGTAACGGATTTGTGTTGTCATATAAGTCTTTGTTCCAAGTGTCGTAATTTGGCCCGGAAAAATGTGGTCGTGGAAGTGCCGGTGGTGGTGGAGGCGGTGCTACTTCGACGGAGAAATCGAAATCTGATGATTCAGATAGGTCTTCACAATTATGACAGGGGAACTGAGGAACCCCATTCTGTTGCATTGTCCATGGCATCATTTCTACTTGGTTTTGTGATGATAATTTCATTAGGTTATTAAAATCATCCATGACTAGAGATAGATAGATAGATATAGAGAGTGAAAGAGATGTATAGAGAGAGAATTCTTTGCTGAAAGACCTTAAAGATTTAGGTTTAACCCCACAGGTGAAAGAGATGTCAGTGTTAGGGTATAAATAGGAAGGTTTCAACTTGTGTGACCAATATATTATTGTATTCCCACAATTATTTTCTTCCCTTTGGGGAGGTGGGGGTGGACCATAATGCAATTCTTACCGACCAAGATATTATAAAATAATTCACACCTACATAAAAGTCACTCACTCGGTCCACTCAATTGGGTACAATGTATGTAGATTTTTCGATTTTTTATTAATTAAAACTAGTTATAATAGTAACTTAACAATTTATAAAATTGTAATAAATTATGTTTTCTCGTCTCTAGAAGATAACCTTAGACAAATTAGTTTATCAAAAAAAGAAGAGGAAGATCTAGTTTTGACATTTGCATGTATGTAGGCATCTCGTTTGTACTTAGTTTAAGATTATGCATAAGACTCGTACAATGAAATTCATCGTTCATCCCTACAATTTATTATTTTTCATTGACAAGTGAATCTAGTTTATACATGTCATATTTAATTAGGCATACCAAATATCTTATATAGCTGCTTCATTTTTGCTCAAGACAATTGGATTATCATTGCATCTAA